ATGGATTCAGGAGACGGGCTTCCAGCAAGAGGGAAGAAGGAAGGACGGGAGCAATGGGTTGAGCCTGAAAGCATATCTGATGACTATCTAATGTGTTAAAGAATTTTGCTCAGATGAGAGGGAAGAAGTAGAGTTAGAGGTGAAAGCTTGAAAGATATAAACTTCAGAAACAAAAATTAGAAACACAAAATGAGTTAAGTCTTTGAACAGCTCAGAAAGCTACATAAATATTACAGAACATGACTTTAGAGTTATAACACAAATGAGTACGTGATTTCTCTCCAAAGACATCAGCATGCAATTAGTGTCGAAGAGCCTTTTGGTACTCTCCAATTTAAATTCTGAGTCTTTCCATTATACTACACTTAGCATCACTATCACCCAGATCATACATTTGGGTTGGGTTGAAGCTGTACAGCAGTAAAAAGATTTAACATGGAACTAGAAAATATTTTATAACTTTAAAAGTTCATGTAAGTGAAAAAGGTAATATAAGGGAGTTCTGAACTAGTATATCCAGCTGCCTTTTCCTATCTTGGAAAAACAAATTTGACTAATATCAAGGGAACTTGATAATACAAGAACAAGGAGGGCACAAATGATTGCATCTGTGTAACAAGTTAATCATTTCCAATACTGCTGAGAAAACTATAGACCCAAAAATCACTCCTGAAACCAGTTTCCAGTCTTATGAATGGAGCTTTCAAATAAATTAAATTAAATTACAGCATGCACACAAGTTTCTCAAATACACCATCCTACAAATTCATATTTTCAAAGTTACAGTCAGTAAGATGACAAACATCTACTAAAGTTTTCTCTGGTAGATCAATCAAAACCTTTACAGCTTATTTTACAAGTTGCAATTTTTTCAACAACATTAAGTAATATCCTTTACAAGTAAAATATGCCCACGATAATATATAATTTATGTAGAAGTCATATGGATACTTCAATATCTAGGTTATATCAGATCATGCCCATTTGAAGCAAAGAACACCCACATACCACAGAAATAAAAGGACCATTCCCAAATCCAGGCACTAAGAAACTCCTGGTTTCTCATAGAGAAGACAGTTTACTCATACAGTGGCCATAATTTTGCTGAGCTTAATTAACTAGACGTTGAAAAGAGTAAATTAGAAGTGTGACATCAATATTCCAATTTTACAGACAGAAACAGTTAATCTAAAAATCAAGAGAGAATTTTTAAAAACCAATAAGAAGGAAGCAAAAATTCAAAAAGTATTAACAAGTCTGGCCCAAAATAGAAAACAGAATCAAATGGATATTATTCCCTGAAGACATTTTTACATTAAGACAGAGTAGTTGTAGTCATGCAACAGGACAATTCTGAGGCATAGAAAAAGATAAAAAATAAGTTGTAGAATTTTAGCTTAGGTAGTAAATGTGTACTATTTAGAATAGCTGCCATCAAAAGACTAGTGAGGGGACTCCCTAGGGGCCATGTCTCAGTGTTATCAATACAGCGTATTTCAGGAAATTTGTCTGTTCTGCTCCCTGCTCTGTTTCTGGTGAAGCCTTTCACCTCCCGACCACACACTTTGGTCTGCACTTCAGTTCTCGTATGAAAAAGAAAAGAGAAAATAAAACAAAACAAAAAACCAAAACAACTACAATACTCAGTGATTGGAAAGAATAAACTCACCCCATTTGGTGCTACATCGATGGAGCTGGAAGGCATTATACTAAGTGAAACAAGTCAAAAAGAGAAAGAAAAATACTGGATGGTATCAATTGTATGTGGTATATAGAGAAGCCAGACAAAGGCTCAGAGAAAGCCAAACTCAAAAACTAGCCCTTGGAAACAGACTACAGAACTGAGACCTCAGAGTGAGAGGAAAAGGGAGCAGGTAAAGCATAAGGTGGGAGAACACAATGGAGATGGTGGTAAACTGTGGGTACTTTGATGGTGGAAGTACTGTGGAAATATCACCAGACAGGAGGAGCTGTATACTTCCAAAATATAAGCAACAATGAAAATAACTATTGCCTAAAAAGAAAATTAGAAAGACCAGATTAAAAGCATATTCACTGATGTGGAGGCTACAATTCACTGATGTGGAGGCTTACAGATACTTTACCAGGTATTTTGCCACTTAATCTCATTACTCTTTAAACACTTTTTTGGTTGGTCGACACTTTTTTTTTTAAGATTTATTTATTTATTCATAGAGAACTGGGGTACAGGCCAGAGATGCAGAGGGTGAGAGGATTCACCAGGGACAGAGTGGGGAGCAGAATAGACAGATCGATGAAGTACACTGCTGAGGGGAGCAGCGGGCGGGTCAGAAAAGGTCTGCCATGCCAAGTGGATCTCCTCCGGGGCAGGCGGGGATCGAACTCATGCGGAAGTGGCTTCTTAGTGCTGTGCTTTAACCGGCTGCAGCACCAGGGAGGACCTGGTCGACACTTTTAAAAGGATATTGTATTTAAAAACTAAAGTGAGTACATTAAGTAGCAGAGGCAGAAAATAGACCTAGGTCTGTGTGTGGTGTGTTCAAAGCTATGTGTGGTGTAGCCTTTCAATAAAATGTCCAGATAGTTGGCCCTTCCTGGTGGAGCAGCAAGTTAAAACACAGCACTAAGAAGCTAAAGTCACTTTGTTATGAGTTTGATCCCTGCCTGCCCCAGGGGTGATTCACATGGTTCCACAGACCTCTCCTGACCAGCCCACTGCTCCCCTCAACAGTGCACTTCAAAGAGCTGCCTGTTCTTTCTGCTCCCCACTGGTGAATCCTCTCACTGCCCCTGCACCTCTGGCCTGTACCCCAGTTCTGTATGCACTAATAAACCTTTAAAAAAAAGTCCAGATATTAAAAATATAATAATTTAAGGTATCAGATAAATAAGGCATTACAGTACATACTTATTCTTCTGACTTCAATTAAGCTATTAAATTCCTATGTTGTAATTCTTAGTCATCTGAAAGCCTAACTTTAATGATGCCATTTATCTTTCAAATATTTTTTAAGTTTCTCATTATCTATAATCATATTTCTCAGGAGGAAATTCATAAATTCTGAGAACCTCACAGAGTTTATACTTCATAGAATATGATATCCTAAAGATACAGAAAGAAATCTTACAGATACCAAAAAGAAATACTAGAGATAGTAAAAGTTTGGAGTAATAAATGCCATTTACTAAGTGAAAACTGTGGTATACAGTTTAAAGCTAATATGCTTTATCTACATACTATATATAAATCATATGTGTGTATATACACACAAACACAAACACATGACCCACACCCTTACTGAGGTGTAATATATTTTCATTTTCCAGTAATTTGCCTAAGGCCCCACAATCGATTATAAAAAAACTGATTTTAGAGAGGCTCACTACTCTTCCCCATCGGGGCCTTAACTTTCTATATGGTCTCCCTTATTTGAGAGGTATCAAGGTTCAGAAAACATAAAAAGGGCAACTCATAATGAAATCACTCCACACATAATCAAATTTTCTTTAGACAGTCCCACATTCTCCCAAAGCAAGACAAATACAATGTTAATGACATAAAAGCTCCAAGATATCATGAAACAAAGGGGGTCACAAGTGTCAATTAGGTAGCATCCCTCAAAAATAACTTGACATTTTACTTCAGGGTTAATTTTTCAGAAAGTACTAAGCATATTGCTTATAGTATCTAATTTAATCCTAATGATAAAATTTAAAGGCTAAATGATGTTAATTAATCTAAACTTTAGCTAATACTCTTGCACTCACAGTAATATAATACTTCTAGATTGTGCCCAATTTAAAAATATACATATCTAAAACAAAAAAGCTATCACACATCCATCAGACACCACATAAGATATCTGAATGAATTTGGTGTTTTAATATGTACTAAATAACATCTGAGATATTTGACACCATAATTTGTTCTGCAGTGCTATCATCCTGTTTAAATTCAGGTAGATCACTAAAACATTCCTCATTTAAATAAATTAGAATATAAAATCTACAAACCACTTAAAATAGAAATGCTGAAAAGGGATGTTTTCAAACAGCATTAGAAGAATCAATCACCCAAATATTTAATGAACAATTGTTTATCTCTGATAATTTACACAATTATATTTAAATACTGCATGATTTAAATGAATTCAGATTAGTATTTATAGATGTTTCCTATTTTCCAAATAAAATAATATACCAAGCTTGTAGTATAACACATATTATAAAAATTTGTATGTGAACTCAAAAGGCTCCAATTCTAATCATGAAAAATTTTTAGATATTTAGATGTAAGGAAAGGATATATGAAACCATTTCCATAGATCATGTTTTACTAAAACCTTATTTCTAACCAAGTTATTAAAAAACTATAAGACCTTAGCCTAGAAAGTTAAAGATTTAACATATATTTACAAGTCAACACAACATAAAAGCTGAATGTTACTTGGCTTGCATTAAAATCATGAAAACAGAAAAAGAACTCAAAATATATTTTTAAATATTTATATTAAACATTAAATACTTATATTTAAAAATACTACTTTACTGGAAAACCTTAATTTAGACAACTCAAACGGATCTTTCCTACTATTAGTCCTTAGGAAAAAAAGAATTACTAATGGATAGCATAACATTCTTACTCATATTTGGAAAAGCAAAATGGCAAGTTTTGAATAGGCAAGAATGTGACAAAAGCACAAGAAACACTTTTTTGCATTGACCTCAGTTCACAAAGGCATGGTAGCACTAGATTTTCTAATTACATTATTTTCATATAAAGTAGATCAACTTTAAATATATTTTTTAAATATGACAATATAAATGAGATGTTCAGAAGCTATTTCAGGATTATGTTGCTTAATCATAAATTCTGGATTTTGGTGAAAAAAGAAAGCATTCATTTCCTTTGTTTAGATTACAGTTTCTCATGTTTGGTCAATTTGAAAGCAGTAACTTATTGGCTGACTAGTATCTTACACACCATTTTAAACAAAATTTAATTCCAAACTACCTACCCCTTCTTGTTTAGTGAAGAGATTAAGGCAATCACTCAGAGCTACACAAGTTTCTCTAGAAGCTTCAGAGACAACTTCAACTTTCTGAAGAAATGATGGAAGCATTTCTACAAAAACAAAAACAGCAAATAAAACAAGTGGAATTTTATGTAATCTTAAAGTTTTTTATATCTACTAACCTCATGTTTCCTTCAGCTGCATTACTCAACGCATATAACATGCTCTTGGGCATCATTAAGTACCTACTGATGCAGGACACATTAACTGGTACAGAAAAAGGATGAAGTCCTGTCCTAGGGAGGCTTATCTCCTCCACAAGAAGAAGAGTCAGTATTATAAAAACATTTATAGGAACAGATAATTATGATGTGTAAGCAACTGATAAGGACCTGACAACACAATTTATAAACTTTAAACATTTCCTTTCATGATATTCTATGCTAGATACATAAATTTACTCAAAAGCAAAGTGCTAAAAAAGACAAATAATTCTGTGATTGACATAATTGTTCACATATCTGAAGGTGGCATTTAGTTTTTATTTAGATAATCTATAAAGAGATCATTTCACACAAAAATGTGACCCTCTGAAGGTCCAGTATCTTTTAGTCTAAGTTGTGAACACAAAAAATAGTAGTATCATAAACTTCCCAAATTCCCTAAGAAATTCTTAGTCTAGTTATCAATACCAAAAAATATATAAACCAAAAAGAACAACAACAACAAAAAAATCAGATTTTTGGCAAGAGAAAGCTGAAAACGCATACATACTACATAACAAGTAAGATGGTATATCCTATCCAGACTAATGTGAGCGAAATGCACTTAACTGAAATAGTTTTGGACCTTATATATCAAGATCCTTTATATCCACCCCTTCTATCAAAAAAAAAATTATAAAATGAGAATGACAAGGCAATCTGTAGTACATTATGTGTTTCAAATAATCTTGCTTAAAACACTGTCTTTAAAGCATGTTCAACAAGGCTAATAAGAACAAAAACAATAAAGTAAATCCAAATGTCAGCAATCTGTAGTTATTAGGCCATCAAACAGTGAGCCCCGTAAAGAAAAATTTTCAAATAGGAAATGAAGAGGAAATAAAATCCACTAAGAACATATTAACAAATTATTTAGTCATTTCTATGTGTTGAAATTATGAACTCATTATTTTCCAAGTTTTCTACATGAACATGAGTTATTACAGCAAAGAAAAGTTTCTTTTCTTAGAAAAACTGACAAACAGTACATGCATGATTTGGTGAAGGGAAGCCCAAGGGGATTGCAATTGAGATGAAAAAAATGCACAAAATTATGTAAAAATAAACTATCATATCATTAAAAAAAA